GACATTTTAATTTTCGATATTTTGATTTTCGACATTTTGTATTTTCGATATTTTGATTTTCGATAAAAAGTGTTCGATATTTTGAATTCGATATAATGAATTTCGATATTGTGAACGTCACCCTACTAGATCCATATAGAATTAAATAATGGTCTGGAATTTTATTAATAGGGGTCTAATTATAATTATTATTATACTAATAATTATAATATTAATTAGACTAATAATTATAATTATTAGTCTAATTAATATTAGACTCTAATATTAAACCCAGCAAAGTCCATTTAAACGATACAGCCTTTTAAAAACTTTTCGCGTGGGCCTACATAAGGAGTCCGAATTTAATAGGGAAAATTGACAAAACCTGCCCATTAAATCGAACAAATTATGTTTTCTTTTTTACCACCAGCGGCGCTGATTTCCATTAAGTACTGACATCTGCTGTTTTGGTACTGTTTCGGTACATAATACGTAAAGAAAACTTGCTATCATGGTTTTGGTACAAACTAAACAACAAACAGAACAGCGCCCCCTCATTTTGGGCTATTGTTATGTTACGTTATCTTCGGACTCCATGTCCGCCTGATTAAAAACGCTTCGATGACCTTGAAAAGAGATCGTGAGCGAGACATGTCAAAAGTTATGAATAAATCCAATATCTGTTTCTAGTATGGTTTCTAGACTATGCTCAATATTATTTAAAATATTTAAATCCTTTGAAAATTGAGGAATTAGTCACATCCTAGGTTAAGGAGAAAACAAAAGCGTATTAGAAAATTTTGACCTCGGATTCGGATCCAGCGATATAAAAGAAATTGACTACTCCGGTTTGTAGGAACATTCACTTTTTTGGTGAGGTTTTACGGTATTTTACTCTATGCAGCCCCTCTCCCACTGCAAAGTATTTGGCCCAGCGGACCAAAAAACACATTTCCATGTATTTTTCGTTGCTTTTCGGTCCTGATCGAAAAAAACACGCTTTTTTACATATTTTACAATGCAAAAATAGCCAAAAAAAACCGATTTTTTTTTAGGTTAGAAATATACTTGATTCAGATTCAGCAACCAAAGATGTGACTAATCAGGTTCGCCTTGGTGCTTTGACATTCCACTTTTTAATTTTTGTCGGGCTGTGAATTCGAAATAATACAAAAAATTACTCTCATCGGGGTAATTTTAACTATAAAAAATGGTCTTAGTACTGTGCAAATAATTTTTATTAATTATTATATTTTTAAGAAAAGTGTTAATGAATGGCTGTAAATATTTTAAAATTTTCAAGTGTTTATGTAATTTGCTTTCACAATTTTTTTTTATGTCTTTATCACTTTTTTGTAGAAACAATAATCTAAGCCATTTGTTTATTTTTCTCAGTATGCACGGAAAAAAAGCTGCACTATATTAAAGATTAGTAGCGATTGCCCAAGAATATACTCGTTTCACCATTCCACAAGAAAAAATAATATTTGATTCTAATATAGCCCTATTCTTAAGAATTTAGGTAAGTTTCACTTATAATCAGAATACGCTAGTGTTGAATTTGACAATGGCCTAAAAATTGTTTTAAGATTAAGCTAGATTTCATGATCAAGTATTGTTATTCTTATTTTAAAAACTAATTATTATTTGGAAAACTATAGTTTTGTATACAATTTATTTCCAAATATCTCTGAAGTATTTTTTTTTTCAAAAATATTTTAGCTTCAATGTAAACAATACTTTTACTGAAAATAGTTTACATTTAATTTGATTTACTTGCTTTAAGTAGTAGGTCGTTCCCTTTAAGTATACCTATGGGTAAAATTTATTTTAAATAAAATGTAATTCAGTTTTTATTCAAATATAATAAAATACGCTAATTGCACTAATGTCGCTTTGGTATTTACACTTTATATGTGATACAAAAAAAAACATTTATATAAATACATTAATATATTTATTTTAGTAAAACTAACAAAGTGGTAACTTAATTGAGGCAGTAGGTACTGCAGTAGATACTGCATCACATTTTCGATTCGAAATAAGCGTTCTAGCGTTGAGTGAGAACTAGAAGAAAATGGCCCCAAACCGTTTGTAACAAGAATTCAGATCGAAACGCGCAGTTGCTTAATCCGTCAGAAATTTGATGCTAGAACAAACTTATTATAATAAATAACGGTTTGTTTTTACCCAAATACCCAGGCAAATAGTGCCTAGTAATTTTTTGCATTTTTCTCGGTATTTTTCCTTGTTTATTCCCTTTGCCCGTTATTATTAAATAGAAAAAATTAAACTTACCTTCAAATATATAAATTAATAATAACAAATTTCATTCTTTCAATAAAAGATCAATGTCGTCTTTAGCACACAAAAGTCAAAAACAAACGTTGTGGTCACGGATCACCCAGCAAAATGGTCGCTTCGCGTCTTCCCGTGCTAAACTGGGACTCCCAGCATACTTTTTCTTTATGTTCTTCAGGTTGTCTCGCGTTTGCATTTTATTTAAGAATAATTATAATCTCTTTAAAAATAATGTTATTTTGGCAAAAATGAACTGCTTTTTGTTCATTAAAATGGTACTTGTCTCAAAGTAATCTAATGTTATAATAATTTTACAACTATAATTTAGTGGTATTGCAATATTAAATATATTTAATTAAATTCTTATTTGAGTTTTTAATTAAAAAATTATATGGATTTGAAAAGAGAAAACATATTCACTTAATTTAAGAAGAATCCTTTATTTAATAAAATATATTTTTTATTCTTTGTTTAAATAAAAAATACTTAAAATGAATATTAAAAGACTTGAAAATGAACATTAAGCAAATACTTTAATTAATAATAAAGTATAGAACTATTTTTGGATATAGAAATGTATTTTTTGCCGTGTGCCCATTTATAAGACAAAAATTCAGGATAAAGAGTATCAAATTTCCTATGAAACTCAAAAAAATAGCCCTATAGGGCTTTATAAAACTATATTATTTAATTTTCATATATAAACTGATGAAGTATGTGGTAACTATAGTAACTATAGTAACTATAGTAACTAATAACTATAGTAACTATAGGTAAATATATTTTGGTTGAAAGACTTGAAAATGAACATTAAGCAAATACTTTAATTAATAATAAAGTATAGAACTATTTTTGGATATAGAAATGTATTTTTTGCCGTGTGCCCATTTATAAGACAAAAATTCAGGATAAAGAGTATCAAATTTCCTATGAAACTCAAAAAAATAGCCCTATAGGGCTTTATAAAACTATATTATTTAATTTTCATATATAAACTGATGAAGTATGTGGTAACTATAGTAACTATAGTAACTATAGTAACTAATAACTATAGTAACTATAGGTAAATATATTTTGGTTGAAAGACATTGATATAAGTGAATACTTATAGAGAAATTTGTACTTTATTGAACACAAGTTTTTCTAATGTTTTAGATATATATATCTAAAACATTAGAAAAACTAGTATACTACTTAATTAAAAAATGGGCCTAAACTACAATTTTGGTCCCCAGTTTTTTTTAAATATTGGATCATATTTTTTGTATGGTTAATCTTAAACTGAATTTCTTTGTCTAAAAGCCATTTTTCAGTGTTCAGTGATACTTCATATTTAGCTCAGGAGAGTTTTTCTTAAGATAATTTAGGTCTTTAAGCTTTTCAGTTCTTTCTATTAAGAAATTACTAAATTAAATAAAAAATACTTAAAATGAATATTAAAAGACTTGAAAATGAACATTAAGCAAATACTTTAATTAATAATAAAGTATAGAACTATTTTTGGATATAGAAATGTATTTTTTGCCGTGTGCCCATTTATAAGACAAAAATTCAGGATAAAGAGTATCAAATTTCCTATGAAACTCAAAAAAATAGCCCTATAGGGCTTTATAAAACTATATTATTTAATTTTCATATATAAACTGATGAAGTATGTGGTAACTATAGTAACTATAGTAACTATAGTAACTAATAACTATAGTAACTATAGGTAAATATATTTTGGTTGAAAGACTTGAAAATGAACATTAAGCAAATACTTTAATTAATAATAAAGTATAGAACTATTTTTGGATATAGAAATGTATTTTTTGCCGTGTGCCCATTTATAAGACAAAAATTCAGGATAAAGAGTATCAAATTTCCTATGAAACTCAAAAAAATAGCCCTATAGGGCTTTATAAAACTATATTATTTAATTTTCATATATAAACTGATGAAGTATGTGGTAACTATAGTAACTATAGTAACTATAGTAACTAATAACTATAGTAACTATAGGTAAATATATTTTGGTTGAAAGACATTGATATAAGTGAATACTTATAGAGAAATTTGTACTTTATTGAACACAAGTTTTTCTAATGTTTTAGATATATATATCTAAAACATTAGAAAAACTAGTATACTACTTAATTAAAAAATGGGCCTAAACTACAATTTTGGTCCCCAGTTTTTTTTAAATATTGGATCATATTTTTTGTATGGTTAATCTTAAACTGAATTTCTTTGTCTAAAAGCCATTTTTCAGTGTTCAGTGATACTTCATATTTAGCTCAGGAGAGTTTTTCTTAAGATAATTTAGGTCTTTAAGCTTTTCAGTTCTTTCTATTAAGAAATTACTAAATTTAATTTTTTACTGTTTTTATAAGTACATTTTTTTATTTACTTTTGATACTATTACCGTATACAATATATTGTAACCAATTTAATGCCCACATTTACATGCATCGTATTTTACTGCATCAGAGACATTTATAAGAACCAACCAATGTTTGCCAAACATTAAATGTGATTAATGCGATAAATATAAAAAATGTATGTATGTACAAATTTATGCAAATTTTAGTGCAATTAGACCTATTTAAAAGCATTCAAAACACGTTTGCACATGTATACGTATACGTATGTCGATTATTATAATAATGTATTAAATTATTTGAAATAAATGTTTTAAGTGTTCTACTTTTTTGTCTTTCAGTGTTGTTTAAATCCCATATTCAATCTTCTAAAATCCTAGGTATAAACTTTTCAACGTTGACTATTTCTCCATGGACGATAAGTAATGCGATTTCACCGCAAAATCTGTGTCGTGTCCAGCATTCACACATATCAATTTTAGTCGTGATGTTTTGCTGATTCGCCTCTGATTGCAATGCGGTCTGTGGCCAACCGACTTCCATCTGATTTCTTGCTCTTATTAACACCATGCTAGTTTCAACAGAACCTAAACCTAAATGATCGCTTTCATCAATTACTGCACCTACCGAATAATACCGCAGACATACCGTTTGAGTAAATACCTTAGGCAATTATCTGGTTCTATAAAAAGCATGTAATTTCCCTTGAGCGTAGGTAGGTTTTTAAATTCATTTAAACGTAAAACAGCCGTAGGATAAAACAGCCAATAAATTGAAAGACTAAAATAATGTTTTTTTAAAAATAAAAAAACCTTAAATTGATTTCTTTCTTTAGCTGGCAAACAATAGGCTCCTCCCATGTTTCCCAAAGGACAACTTTCAACATCCTAACTACTGAGCAAGTTTTGCTTTATTTTCAACTTTAAATCAAGTTTGGGAGCAGTTAATGTCCTTTGGGATCATTATAAGTTGCTGATGACTAAGTAATTATATAAATTGTTGTTTATAGAACAATACTGCCCAACGATGGTTAATACCCTTACTAAGTCTAATCAAAGGACAGTTTCGCAGTGAAATTCCATAAGATGGTTAGTAAAATAAAAATAATAATTTTTTTAAAGAATTTGATATATATATATATATATATATATATAAAACAATACAATTAACTTATTAAACCTTTTTGTAGTATAATACAAAAAGGTTTAATAAGTTAATTGTATTGTTTTAACAAAATTGCTTTCCTTTAAGCTATTATGGGGTTGACACTTTATATGATTTATATCATTTTAATTCAGAACACTTAATTTAAAGCATATAAGTTTTATCAAATATATTTTAAAATTTATACCTTCAGGTTGCTAACCGAACGCAACTGGTTAGTTTATTCATTATTATTTATTTACGGGGTGTTCCAGAGGTCACGAGCCACCTTGAAGGTGGATGATCTGCAAGCCCCCAGGAATACCAGAATATTGTTAAAAAATTTATTATTTCAAAAGATATGAGAGCGTAAACATTGAGAATGTTCAAACAATGTTCATTAGGAATTAATGTTTTAACTTGATAAAAAAATGTATTTTAGGATTTTTATTACAATACGCATGCGTTTGGTAACATGGTGTGCAACAATTGATTATTAGAACAATTGACTGTTAAAATTCAAAATTATATTCATATACGCTAAAGAAGCATCGGGTTTTCGCAACGCGCGCGCCATCTGGTGATGTTCGATAGCAATGTGTGAATTCAAGAATTGTCAACAATACATTTAAAGCTACGACCTGCAGATCATTTTTAGCAAGATCTTGCGGCAGGTCTTCTTCGCTAGAACTCATTTTCAAAACGTAGGAAGAATTTCAAATTTATGATAAACATTTTGACAGCTTATAAAAACTGTTATGTTTGTATTTTCAAAAATACCATAGCAACAAAGCGTTGTCAACATAACGTCGGCAACGCAACAACTACTTAATATTTTGTCATAATTTTATAGCCCCATACCGGGTTAGTAAAAGAAACCGGAACGCTTAAAATGTCTTAAAACCGATAAAAGGTAATAGAAAAAACCATATACATACCTCAGGAGGAAAATGCGTTTCCTCCCTTGAATATTTAATGCCCTTCGCTTCGCGTCGGGCATCAAACTATTCGCGGGAGGAAAAGCACTATTTTTCTCCCATGGTATGTAAATAGCTATTTATTTTTAGGAAACACATATTATTTCATACATTTCATGTTTTAAAAATAATGTCTTTTAAATGACCGCCGTTATTGTCAATGCACATTTTAACCCTATTACGATATTGTTGCATTTAGCTTTTTCAAATTTTGTGGACGATGTTTAAAAACTTAAAAAAATCGCAAGTGATCAAATCAGGCGAACGCGGAGGCCACCCAATATCCCCTCGTAAAGAGACAACTTTGCCCGGACATTTTATTTTAAAAATCCCTTACGTAATTAATGAACTTTTAAAAAAATATACAGCTTTTTCTTAGTTTGATTTTTATTGACATCCCAAATATTTCTGACAGATTCATTATGCCGACTGAAAATGGCATGCACGTACAATCCGTCTCCGAAATGTGAACGATTTTTTGTTGTCATGGATTTTTTTCATAAAATTTATTCGTTCATTCCTGGCTTCGGCCAGTGGTGTTACATATAGAAGGGAGAATACTAAGAATAAGAACAATATCCTAAATCGTTCTATTTTTTTAATAATATTTTAACAAACAATAATATAAACAATATAACAAATAAATTAACTTTAATTTGGTTTTATACAACAATATAAATTAACAAGTAGGTAAATACACAATAAAAATAACATAACTAAATTAACATATTGCTCAAGAAAATTGGTTTTTAAGTGAAATAGCGGCAGATTTAAATGTCAGTAAAAGCTGCATATTTTATATCAAAAAACGTTGGCAAAAACAACAAAGATTGAGAAGACCTATCAGGCAAGGTGTAGGTAAAATCTCCAACGAAAATGAAGACAATGCTCTTGTCGCACTTATTAGGCAAAATCCTTTCAATAGCGCATTTAAGGCCCGAGAAGATACACAATTTCCAGGATCTCTTCGAACAGCTCAAAAAAGATTGAAACAAGCTGGCTTAAAAAACTGTGCTGCTAAGCTATTTTAATACTTAATTGCAGAGCCATTAGCTGCCACAACCCTTTGCAACCTTCTTGGCATGGACATTATTAGCTCACGCATGTCGTATGAATCAGCAAGCTCATCCCAAGAATTTTCAACAGCACTCCATAGTTCATCTCGGTTTGCTGGCCTTTAGTCCCGTTGATATATATTTTTAACTACCTAAAGCGACCACGCGCACTGCTCTATCCCCCTCACGAGCTGAACAATGGGACAACCTTTTTGCCGCACCCTGTTTAATTGATTAAAAAACTCAACGATTATAATATATGCTTGTATAGTTACGTAAGTCTGTGTATTTTATATAATTGATCATAATGAATTATTGTGTTATTAATTGTAAATAGGATTCAAGAACTAATTGCTGCATTTTCATGTTTTAGATCCAATATGGTACGTTTATTTGTTGGTGCAGAATAAAATAATGATAACTTTACCTAAAATAATTTATATTTAAGTTTGGTCAATTTAAAGAAATCTAACAAAAAATAATTGTTGTACAAACATAACCCTAAAATCAAATATTTTTATATTTGAGTCCTCTAAAAAACCGACAACTCCATTTTAAACGACAAAATATACCTACGAATTCATTGCAACATAATTTTATATATCTATAATACATAATATAATACCGGTTCTGGTATTTTACTGTTAAGTGGAGACTTTTATAATCAACGCTTTTAATAATGCTAAATGCTGTTTGAATTTAGACGACTTATTTGTTTTATGGTTTTTACTGAATTAAAATGTTTACAATTTTTACGTAAATTATTTCTAAAATGTGTATTTATTGTATCTAATAGGTACAATTTATATTTACAGGGATTGTGTGCAATTTATTTCTTTATTCATTCCACTGTTTATTGGAAACCGGTAAAAACTCAATTCAGCATTTCCTTTCGAAAAATACCCAACAACACAACAAATCTTGCCTCGGTTTTTTTTCCCGATTTTTTTAACATTTTCCGGCTATTCTCAAAAACACTCGTTTGTTACATACGCGTTTTACAGCTGTTTATTAATAGCTGAATTCCGGTGATGGTGATAACGGCCACGTGGTGGCGCTACTGATGATGCTTCTTTATCTTATAGCATTTCTGTTAAATATTGATATGTATTACTTTAGTGAGTAAAACTCAATATTGTCTATGCTCTGTGTGTGTCAATCTAATGTTTGTTTAGTTTTTCTTCATAGTTTTAATCCATTGGTTTATTAGATCCTGACAAGGAATCTCTGAATTTGCTTCTGTCAAGTGTGACATAAAATAAATAACCTCTAAGTAATAGTAACCAACTTGACATTTTAATATTGTTGTTATGAGGTTTAAGAATAAATCTACCCATTTATTAGTACGCAATGTTGCCATTTAAAAAAATATGTATCTTTTTAAATAACGAAGGTGGATTTTCTTCTTAAATTTCTGGATTTTTTGGGCGTCCACCTTCAAGGTGGTGGGCAACTACTGGGACATATGCCAGAGCTTCTTCCAATCATACATTTAAGCTTGGGGGAAAACTCACGTAGTGCCATGTGTCAATCAAAAACTTATTTTACCCGTAGGTGTTATGTTACTATGTATGTACAAATCCTGTTCAGCTCTTCTTGTCTCTTGCCATTGACCTTGCTTCATTCCATGTCATGTTTCTCTTTTCTAGGTTTTCTGATACTACATCATTCCATATTTTTTTCGGTCTGCCTCTTGGTCTTTTCTGTATTGTTTTGTTTGCCATATCCTTTTTGCCTGTCTATCCTCCTCCATCCTCACCATATGTCCAAACCATTTCAGATGTTAATTTTTTATGCTGTCTAGTATCGGTTCCACATCCAATTCTGCCCTTTCTGTTTCGTTGCGTATTCTGTCCCTTCTAGTTATTCGCTTCACTGATCTCAGGTATCTCATTTCACTTGCTTGTAATTTGCTTTTCTGTTGTTTTTTTAACGTCCAGCTTTCGCTTCCGTAAATTGATGTTGGTTTAAATAAAGTCCTATACACTGTTAGCTTCGTTTTCTTTAATATTTATTTTTTAATAAGTTGTTATTTAAGGCATACAATTTTGTTGCATTTTCTATTCTGTTATTAATCTCTGCCTCGTTATTTACTTATTTATTTATTGTTACTCCGATATACTTAAAAGCGTCTGTTTGTTCTACATCGTGTCCATTTATTTTAATTTTCGTTTGTATATCGTTTATTCCGATTACCACTATTTTAATCTTGGCTATATTTATTCTTTGGTTCCTTTTTCTAAGTTTTTCTGAAGTTGTTATATATAGGCTTAATATTTCTATAACCCATTAGTAGTTTTTTGGCTTTCTTGTTCACTTCTTTTGTTATGTCGTCTAATATTATATTAAATAGGGTTGGGCTTAGTACTTCGCCTTCTCTTAATCCTTCTTTGGTTTCAAATTCTTCCGACTCTAGGTTGTTGGTTCTGACGTAGTTTCTTGTAAGTTTGTATATACTGCCTATGCTCCTTATTAGATCCGTTGACTCCTATTTTTTCCCCATCTCTTCCATATTTCTTGTCTTGGTACACTGTCGAAAGCTTTCTCAAGGTCTATGAAAGCTACGTATATTTTTTCGTTATAACTCTCCTCTGTTATGTGTTTTATTGTGATTGGTCCAATCCTACATCTGTTTGTTCTTTTAGTTTATTTTTAGCCTTTCATATACCTTTGCTACAATGCTCAGTATGTATGTTCGGTATGTGTTCTTCTTTTGCTACTCTATTTATAAATTGTGTTAGTACCTCCAGACCATTATTTCCCAAGTTTGTTAACATTTCTGCTGTTATTCCGTCATGCCCTGCTGATTTTCCTCTTTTTAGCCTTTTAACTGCATCAGCCACGCTTTTTGTATTGAATTCTTTTTGTTCATTTTGTTCTTTTTCTTCTATATTTTCATTTATCTCTTCCTCCTCTTCTCTATTAACTTGCTCAATGTTTAGTAATTCCTTGAAGTATTCTTTTCAGCGTCTTATATCTTTGTCTTCTCTTAATAAATGTCCATCTTTGGCTTTTAAGTATGTTGCTCTCTGACTTTTCCCTTTTCTAAGGTTTGTAAGTACTTAGTAGAAAAGTTTCTGATTACCTTTGCTATCTTGCTCCATCTTCTCTCCAAATTCTTCCCATGCATTTTGCTTTGCTTTTTTACCAATTCTCTAACCTTTATTCTTTGTGTTTAATATGCATTATAGTTCTCATTGTTTCTATTACTTAAATACTTGTTTCATTTGTTCTTTTTTGTCTTTATTTCTGCATTTATTTCTTATTTTTCTTATTAATTTTTGCCATTTCCTCCGCTATTTTTTCTCTGTAGCTGCACCTTCTTTTTGTCTTAGTTTATATGTTTGTCTGTGTATTATTCGGCTCCTCTTCTTACCCTCCTATCATGTACTTCTTTCCTGAAGTCATTGCCTATTATTACGTAGTCTATTATGGACCTTTCTTCCCTGTTTGCTACCTCTCTTGTTATCTTATGTATTTCCTTGTGTTTAAAGAATGTATTGGTTATAATCAAATTATTCATTAGAGAAAAATCAATCAGTCTTTCACCATTATTGTTTCGGCCAATTTCACCGTATGCTCCTATTGTTTCTCCTCACTCTTCGTCTGCTTTCCCGACCCTTCCATTTAAGTCTCCTATTATAATTAATCTTCTTCTTACTTCTTCTATCGTTTCGGCCAATTTTTCCAGAATTCATCTCTTGTCTCTTTTCTTTCGTCTTTTGACGGTCCATATACTATTATTATCGTCGTTTTGGTTTGTTTTTCCAATTCAAATTCAATCTAAGTTCTTATATATTTTTGGTTTTGCTGCTTCACATTGCACCCTACAGCTTCGTTTGCACCTTTGATTTTGGTTAACTCCAGAGTATAATACGATGTGTCCGTTTAGTGTTTTTTCCCCTTGCCTGTCTTTTTTGTTTCTGTTATTCCTAAGATATCCAGGTCTGTTTTCTCTAGCTCTTCCACTAATTCGTTTTCTTTGCCTGTAAGACTCCTAACATTCCATGTGCTAATTTTTCAAATTTAATATTTTGTTATTTTATTTTCCTTTCGTTTTTTCCACTCATTGCCTTGTCCGTTGCTAGTTCCGTCTTTATTGCATCCAGCCGTGTCTTTGTTCAGTAGTTTTTTGCAATTTTTGTTACCTGTCCCGTTAGTGTTATGTTTTGGGGTGATCTTTCGCTTGCAGTTCTTTTCATTGCCTTAGTGACTTGTTCGTTTTCGTTTTTAAAATCTTTGCTTTTATATATTACATTGTTGATTATTAATTTATTATATTTCAGTTGCGCTTTGTGCCCCTTTTCTCTGGCCTCTTTTAGTTGCGGTATCAGTATTTTCCTTTCTTCTTGCACCTATTTTGTATAGTCTTCGTCGAGCCAGATGTTTTAACCTGTTAGTCCTTTAGAGTTTCTGCCTTCTTGGTTCCTGTTATGAGCTTCAGTACTATTGGTCTTTATCCATCTGCTCTATATTTGCCGATTCTTTTGGCTTCATCGATATCTACTTCTTTCTTAATAGTTACGCCCAATTTTTGTACTATTTGTGTTGAGACATTAGTTGTTTTTTTTTTGTCTTCTACTTCTCTAATGATGATGTTTTTTCTTTTAGTCTCCCTTTCCAAAGCCGCAATTCTGAATTCTTGGTTTAATATTTGTTTTTTCATTTCCTTATTTTCTTCCTTTCTTCGTTCATTTTCGGTAACCAAGTATTCGAGTTTGTCATCCATTGCTTGTAGTTTGACGTTTATTTGTGCAAACATGTTCTCTATTTTTTGAAAGCCCGTCCCCATTTTGTGTTAAATCGTTAGCGGGAACGGTATGTGTGTTTGTTTGTATGATCCGTGGGTTTGTCTTGCATGTACCTACTTTAGCTGCGTTTTGCTTAATTCGGCAACGCCGCAATTTATTTCGCCGTGATCTCCGCGTTTGCTTTGCTATTTCAGAGACCTCGGCTTACTTGTTTCTGTTCTTTTATGTTTATTTTCAGTTCGATTTCGTTTAATTTTGTGCTGCACTAAGCCTCTTTTTCTATTAACCACTATGCTTCGCTTTCCACTAATTATTTATCAATACAATGCTCATTATTATGAAACGAATGTAGGTGAATTGATAACCAGTGTTTGCTCGCTTAGTTGCCACTATGTTAAGCTTTGTATTTTTTTTGGCACGAGCTGAAACGGGTTAAATAGAAAAAAGCCTCACTCGATGCAGCTGATTTTGATATACTAATTTTAATGCCAATCTTTCTTATGCTCACACGACGATTTTTCAACAAGATATTTTCACTTCTTGGAGTTTACAAAAATTAAGGAGTAAAGTGGAATGGCTGTGATACTAATTCTTATTTTAGATGCAAATAACGGTTGCAACACAACAAATTTTTTAAATATTTTTTTTACCTATTTTAAATTAAAGGTACAAGTACACTTAAAAGCATTTTGTCAGAATGTTTAAGTAAAAACAAACTTGGCCAAAGACACAGATACATTCATGTAATTTATACTTAGAAATATTATAAAATAGCTATTTATTTATTTTTTTGACAACTGCCAATTCATTCTTAAAAAATAAATTATAATTTTTAATGAAAAAAATAACAAAATTCTTTAAAATATTTTTATTTATGTAAACAAATATTGGCCTTAATATTCTTTTTAACTCGAATAAAATCAATACATTGTATTTCTAAAACAGCAACAGGCAAAATAAATAAAATATCGTTTAAGCTGAACACGAAACTTTTTGTTATCGCATGCATGATTTTAATCTTTTTTATTATCAATATTATAAACATAAATTGCTTTTAAATGCCAACATAATAATTTTATATTTATTTATTCCAGAATATTTTATGTTTTAGATATCAGTTTTTATAAAAATTCTCAGCTTTTAAAATCCCTGTTCATTAAATTGGTATTAATTTCAAAAAGGGTTTAGTAAAATCTTGATAATTATCTTTAAGATTTTTTCATTTTATTAGTTTGCCCCATTTTTCATCACACCAGCACACTGCACGAGTTCACCCTTGTTTACTGGGTGAGAATGTCCGCGTCACATACTATGCCCTATTTGGGGCTTGAAGGAGACTTACCAATAGTTTGTAATAGCCCCTCCCGATTTCGCCGGGTCATTGCAATACGCCCAGTTGGATCACAAAGGTCAGGGGTATAAACCTTTCCCAAGTAGCATTATAGTGACGAAAACTGATATTGTAACTTCAAATAAGTGGCAATTACGTTAAAATCTTCATATTATATAAGCATAGTGATCATCTGATTTGCACAAGTAAAATATACTTCATATATGAACTAAAGTTTTATAACTTTTTGGTGTATGAAACGTTATTGTAGGAAAATAAATGTCTAGTTTTAAACAAATAATTTTGGTTAGTACTCCACCAAATTTAACATGTTAATTATTGGTTTCAGGTGACCAGTAATAATAAAGAAATTATTTAAGGCCTTTAGATAAATAATTGTTTGATCCGCTAAGTTTACAAATTTTCAAATTCTTTTCCCAAATATTTCAACGGGGCGTGCTTATATTTCGAGCTATGACACCCATGTTTGACAGTAAAATTTTATTCGTTTTAATTTTATGTCTTCGGATTATTTTAATTCTAGTTATTATTTTCAAGTTCTATTTTTACATTATAATAATTTTAGAATTCAGTATCAGTTTAATGTCCAGTTTCAGACAAAGCAATCATAATAAAATAAATAATATGCTGGAAAGAGACGAGGATAGAAAGTAAACAGTAGTAAAGTTTTGCTTAAGTTTTGGCCACTATCCTCCACGTTACAGTAACGTAATCACAACTTGGTATAAACGTTGTTGTAACAAAACTGACACTAAAAAAGTGATCCCCATTTTAAAAGTAGAACCGTTTCTACCACGTGGCAGAGATTTTGGCAATACACTTTATAGTTCCAAGTATAAGTGGTCGATACGTTTTATCCACTAAAAATGCTAGTTAAGTTTGGTGTTAAGGGAACAATTACGCCGACTTAAATATGTGTACGACTCGGAATCCCCCTTAACCGGGACGTCAGTATTACTACAAACCTTTGGAATTACTGTTGGCAGTTAGGGTATTGTAAGTTCTCAGAAGGGGCCTATATTTCCTAGCCGAAGTCTACATCTTGTTCTTTATTGTCAATAATGTTTTTAAAAATACTTCTCATAAAAAAGTCACAAATATTCTACAATGAGCATGAGACCTGGCAACATTGCACAGGAATGTCACATTCGCGTCGCTGTTCCCGATTCCCAGTACCAACAAAAATAACTACATGGTGCAAAAGAATTATTTCATCCGAATACGACAACACCAATATTAAAAAAGCATGTTTTTGATGGTAAAGTTTGAAAATTTGGTTAATTTTTGTGAAAAATAAGAATTTAGGTAAAATTACTACACTGGTTTAGGTAATAAAATATAAAAATTAGGTCCATTTCTCTTGAAAAAGAAAATGTTGGTAAAATAGGTAAAATTAAATCATTTTTAAAACGGATTTTATTCCATTGCACCTAAAGTTATGATTAGTGTAGACAAATAGGTAATAACACTAAAATCCCATCTCTAACTTATTACTAAGGAGTCGCTTATCGCGATGTTATTTGTAATTTGTATTTAAAGTTTTAAAGTTATTTTTAGTATACAAAAATATTCATTTGTAAAATCAGTAACTGTTGAACTATAGGATTTAAAATTATAAAGTAACATATTTTTATGGATAAAATAATGATCCACAAAAAAGTTTTATGACATTTTGTACTAAATTCGATAGTTTTACATAAAATTTACCATAAATTCTATTTAAGCTTAAATTACAAAATGCCATTTTTGTAGAGTGTTTATATATAACCAGAACCTATCTGTTCTGGTCATTTTAGCCCATTGATTTGTTATCGAATTCTAATATTAATTTTTAATTTAATTCGTATAAATTTTCACCGCTTAGGGGGGCATGTTGTAAAAAAAAACGTTTTTTTTTGAGTTGAAAAAAAACACGTGAACAAAACAAAAGTTTTTTTTTTTCATCCCCACCCACGTATGGTAAAAGGGCGCCTCGCTGTCGGCAATGCTGACTTAGCATATCGTATAGTCTATAGACTTTTACCGTATATATACAGTATTATAATAGAAGAGTTAAGACCTGCGGCTTTATAGGTTGATGCATAGTTGGTAGAAATGCCGAAAAGAGAAGGCTCAGGGCGAAAGCCAACAACGTTAAACAATTTGTTTAAGAATATTACTAATGGTAAGTAAGAAACTATAATTAGTATTTAATATTCTTCTAGTGACAGAATGTGCCAAAAATTCTTTCCTCAGCAGTGACATTTCGAAAATCCTGTCACTTAATATATTTTGATGCAAAAACAAATTTGTTAACTAAAAAATGGATTAAAAATTCATTAGGTAGGTACCTATTGGACGCAATTTTTTAACATATGTACACTTCAATCACTTGAACTAAAGTTCAACATGACAAATTCTAATTGTAAATCTATAGATGCTTACAAATCTGATGAGAAAGAAAGCTCAAGCTCGGACGATTCATCATTTAGTTTACATGACACATCGTCCGAGCTTGACTTTGAATCTCAATCAGATTAATTATTATAATGTTTATATATTTTTAAAGAATTTACTTAATTTTTATTTTATCTGTTTTAAAAAAGTTTGTTTACCTTTTTTTGTTAGAATGTTTGTTATGTTTTTATTTCAATATATATTTTTTAAATAATTTGAGTATTTTTGACCATTTTTTTGAAAAAAAAACAAGGACCTCTGTTTTTTTTTCTAAAAAAAACATTTTTTTTTTAAAAAACAAGACTGTTTTTTTTCAGTGACAACACTAGGCATGTATCGAGCGGGCTGCAGCCCATAAAGCCCCTACCTAAATCCGCCCATGTCAGCGTCTGCAACTTTCTGCTTACTTTATTCCAATTCGTAACGTGTTCGTAACAACTTCAGTGTTTAAAATATAATACCAGAAATCTGTTATTATACTTATACCCATTTAACGAGTGTGCGAAGTATCCAAAAAAAGATGCCATCACTGGTTTTTAAACAGTGAAGTGGGTGAAAATTACGAAATACATGAGTGAGCGTTGTTACAGTACTGATAGTTATATTGTATCAAATTTCTTTATAATTTAATGATTTCAGAATGGTGTGTTATTTAATTGGGTCTATGTTATTTTTGTATTTATTTATATAGGTATGTGATGTTTTTTGTTCAGAAAAATTATAAATAAAGCTTTATTTTTTATCAAAATTCTTTTTTTTTAAGTTCCCAATTTACAACAAATACTTTTGTTACTGTGTCTACAAAAAGGTTTGTAAAAATAAGGTCTTTTTGAAAATTACAAGAATTATGGTTTAATTATTGACATAGAATTTTGTTATTAAATCTACAAAATGTCTGTTACAATTTCAAACTGCTTATTCAAGGGCGGTGGACTAGTACCGAGAGGTCGTGGGTTTAAATCCCACATTGATATGTTCTTTATTTTTGTTTGTCCTTTGGACTTACTCAAATGTGTCCAATCTAGTTCTAAAAAGTTAAAAACTTAAAGACGTAAAATAGTAGGCTTTCTGAAATAATGGGAATAATGTATAAAAAATTGCAAAATGTTTTCCTAAAAAAGGCTACCTTCTTAAACCTCTGCAAGCTTTAATACTGGAGTGCATTATTGACTTTAAGAGTATTACTAAAAAATGCATATAAATGTAATTTAGCAATTAGCCGAAAATTGTATTAATATATTTAAAAGTTTTAAA